TAATTTGCATTAATTAATAATTATAAAGAAAGCAAGAGAGTTTTATTTATGATTTATTGTGAAAAAGCAAACGTTCTTAACAATTTCCATTCGCAAAACTTCATTTGCTGAAATTACGCAATTAATTAAATTAAATTAAATTTGAGTTATATGCATGTAACACGTTGCTCTCCGAAGTATTTCCGATATAAGTCTTCGAACGAGAATACAGTGAAAAAATTGCTGGAGATTGGAGACGCAAACGAACTATCCTTTTTAATAACAGTTGTGTTGCACCGCGTGATGATTAGTAGCCGATTTCTCTGGCTTCTATAAATTTCAAACCGGTCATTTTCTCCTCGCATGCACCTGTTGTCGAACGAGAATATTGGCAATAACAAACCCAATAACTGCGTCACGTTCCAATCGCTTTTGAACGCGACTTTTATATATTTTTCGCTTCCGCGCGTATCTCCCTCTCACGATTCCTTTTCACCGTTCTTTTTCATTCACTTTCGTCCTGCCGCCATTGTCCTGTTTCTTAATATTTGTAATATTAGATCGGACGCGATCGTGCGATCGGAGCTCGTAACTTATTTCTATACCAACGCACGTTCCACCCTATATTATGTGCACTGGTTGCTCTGCAAACACTGGTTGTGATGATAAATCTTACGATAGTATCAAAAGAGACTGATTTGAGAGGGACAAAATCGATACAAAATCGTATTAATTTTGATGCGACCTAAATTTAATATTAATTAAAGAATTAAAATTAATTTAATATTAATTTAAATTAAAAAATTAATTTAAATTTAATATTAATTAAAGAATTAAAATTTCTATCATATTAAATTTCACATTAATATTAATTGTTAATCTTTTTCAATTTTTGTAAATGTATATAAATAAAAAAGAAATGCAAAGTAATTTTTAATAATCGTATATTAATATGCAGAGTGCAAGATTCTTAGAAAGTAATAAAGGACCTCGATATATTATAAAGTAAAAGAATAGATTTTCGGAAAAGCGTGAGGGAATCTCAATATTACGGCATCCAGATAGGAAAACGTGACATGAAAAATAGGATCGGATGATCCGAGTTGTGCTGGTAATCACGCAATAAAAAAGGCAATAAGCAGTGTGTCCTCGACAGGAGGTCAAAGCTTCATGGAGATGGTGATAAAAAGAGAATGGTACTCTACAAAAATTGAGCTAGCTGGATTTATATATCGCCTATATTTTACATAAAATTATTTTATTATCTCAATTATATTACTTCACTCTATTAGCAGCTGATTGAATTTACATCTCTGTTAATAATTTTTTTAAGATAATTTTTTAAAATAATTTTTAAGATAATTTTTTTTCAGATAATATATAACATTCGGCTAGAATTCTATATATAATTTTATGTATTGCGTAAAATGTTATGTATTACAAAAAAAATTGTAAAAATGTAAAGCCGGTCCGATTCATAGTCCGATTTTATATTTGAAATCGTCTTAAGTTCGAGCTTGAAATGCTACGCAGCTATTTGATTGAATGAGGTCTTAAGTCAACCTCGGACCACTTAAGACATTCTTAAATATAAGATCGGACTATGAATACCAGCCTAAGAGAATTATAATAAATTGAATTCTGTCTTGCATATTGTCGCAAATTATAGATTGTATAACTTTATTATACAATGTTATACAACTTATTAATTTTATTAGAATTACGTATTGTTAGTAATTTGCCATTTTCTAATTTTGTGGACAACTAGAACCATTTATCCTTATCGAGTGGACGGAGCAATTGGTTTGGCTGTATTGCCGTGGAATGTACCATCGTGTATTCTGCCACGAAATTGAATTACAACTCCAGAACGATGTAATAAAACCTACCCTTCTCGGGTATATATCCTTGTTCGCCCATCGTTGGGGCAAGTGTAAGAAGAAACGAATCAACCCCCAACCGTTTTCTCTGGATTGTCCAGAAAGGTTCGTTATCGATCAGCGATAAACAAGTTCTGACTCACGTAATGGAAATTTAACGATCTTACAGACGTTAAAATGTTTTAACATAAATTATAATGAATGATAAATATGTTTACAATTAATATTAAATTCGCATCGAAAAAAATCATTTATTTCGTAAAATTACAACTTAACAAATCGTATACAATTTATAATGAAATTTATGTAACGGTGCATCGCGCGAAAGAATCCAAATGCTTTTGTTCTATTTTAGGTTTATTTTAATCATTCATTTCAAGCACTTCTAAGGTGCTGACGCGAACAATGGATATTTTTTTCAATTTTCGTTTTAAGTGGCACGTACAACCGGGCTACTGCGGAAAATGGAGCCCCCGATAACCCCCATTGTTGACCAGCGTGATAAACTGACCCCGCATACGTCTTCTTTTGTTTCAGAAATACCCCGCGTGCTCTGTTACGTAACCATTTATTTTTCTTCCAGCGTTGATTTTGTGCATTGTATAAACCCAGTCTCTTCCAATATATAAAGAGAAATGATCGAAGCAGCGGAAATGTTACCTGCCACGCTATTAAGGATGTACCTTTATAATTTCAACTGTTTAATTTCAAAGATAAAATTTCCGTAACAAGATGATTAATTTAGTTATACAACGCCGCACTTTTTTTTAATTGTATAATCTACAAGAGCGCATTACAATGATTTTATATCATTAAATGCAAACGTTCATCAACTCAACATCGTAGAATAATACGAAGACTTGGTCGAAGGATAAATGTTTCTTTTGTCGAGTTGAATCTTCATCTTTCGTCAAGGATTCGCGGATGAATGAACGTTGTTCAGTCGTACGTGGTCGACTGTGGACACAGCACACGTGCCACATTTTGTATTCAGCATCTGTTTCAAAGGTGAGTTTATGTACATAACACGCAGGTGAGTTTTGAGATCGTGCTGTGATTCAATTTAACGCCGGTAATCGCGGACTGGCCGAGATTTTACGATGTCTTCTGAGATTCACGAGAGACTGATCTTTCCACGATGAAATTTCTTTCTTCTTGTTACATACGTCAATCATTTTTCTTCACGCGATCGCAATCTATCATTTATCTTCGTACAAATATCGCGTCAAGATTTTACTGGGATTGTTCGTTTAAAGAACGCGAAGTATTCATTGCCACCCATCGTCGAAAGTAAAGTTGTAAAGATCAGAAGTAAGGAAAGCGAGTGATTCTTGATTTTAGGGCCATGGAAAGAAAATATCTTTATTTATGAGAGATAAGAGAATTTAAATTCAAAATTATCCATCTTGCAGCTGATACCGTGAATACTCAGAACAAAATTTATGTGTTTTTTTCCTTTTATTTCATCAAAATAATGGAAGCGAAATGTATATTTTAAGCAAGCCTTCTACCATCTTCCTCTTTTTATATAATCGAAAAAATCTACTTTTGGTCTTTTTATTGGCCAATCCTCGGAGATTGTTTTGAGAAAGATCAATGTTGCGTTGCTGTTTCACGAAATATAGTTCCTCTTGCGTTGATTGAAGACACTACCAGATGAATTTAAGTTAGGCCGGACTTAAAGATATTGCTCTTTCCGTTCAAAGATTTTTGTTCCTTTTCTCTTCTTTCTTTTTCACATAATACGACTTCGATTTGGACCCGAGTCGGCTATGGCTCCTCGCGTCGTTCTTATCGAATTTTCTCTCGACGCTATCGGCAAAGTGCCGATCCATTCCTCCTGCCGTATTAAGACGATATCATAACGAAATGGAGCGCAAATGTACTCTTCCTTTTGCGGTTCTCCGATAGATTTTTTTTCCTGTTAGCGGCTCGCAGGGTCACTGAACTCGCTTTGGCACTCGACAGTTTGCGAAGGGATTCGCGAAGCTGGCGCCGATTTTTTAAAGCGAAAGAGAGAGGAACGTCTCGAATATCACGTGAAGGAAAATGGTTACTGCAGCCATGTATCAGCTGTAAAAAAGACTGTTGTATAACGAGAAGAAATAGATTAAAACGAAAATTTTCCAGAAGATTTTTAAATAAAACATTTCTTTGATACACGTACTTATAAATGAACGGAATAAAAGAAATTAATTAATAGAGAAATTAATTATTAGAGAAAATTCCATTTTTGAAACATGAATAATTTTATGAGAGAAATAATATAATTCGAGAATTATCAAAATTTGTAGCAATTTCTAATTTTTTCTATTATACTTTTCTCTTTTACATAGATCATAAAACAATTATTAATTATTAGAGAAAATACCATTTTTGAAACATGAATAATTTTATGAGAGAAATAATATAATTCGAGAATTATCAAAATTTGTAGCAATTTCTAATTTTTTCTATTATACTTTTCTCTTTTACATAGATTATAAAACAATTTATCCGACAATAAGAATTAGATTGGATGCTTATGATTATCGCGTAATTATTTTTAAGTTTATCTCATTTATTCGTTCGAGAAGTTAGGAAAGAGATTAATAAAGTACGCTTATCTCTCGTAGCGTTAATAATTCTTACAGCAATAACGACCCGTTAAAGCAACTCCGTCGGGATACTCATTCGCTTCTTCGCGCTATTTCTCGTTGCGACGAATATTTAATTTACACGACGAACGCGAGAAAAAATTTCGCGACGCGATGCGAAACCTGACTTATTAATGGAGACACGTTGCATGTAACTTTGTACGATTACATCGCTGGTGTAAGCGCGAGATTTCAAATATTTGTCCGAGAGGCGTTTACAGACCGAGAAGTGCATTATACGAAAACTGGCCTCATTATGCATGCGTCGGCGGTGGGGAGGAGGTGGAAATTGCTTGCTCCTCGTCGGATTACGTAAACGGTCTTCGAACCCGGCCGCAATTCGACTCCCGGAAACCGGAGCAAACATTTGCGACTTGGGATGTTTAACGGGTTTCCCGCGCGCGCGAAAACGATGCTTTCGCAGTTTGCCGTCTTCGGAATCGGCGACGAAGTCGAGCTTAATCACGTCGGGGAATCGTCTCATTGAGACTGTAATCCTGGGAAAATGATCGCGTCGATCGCTCTCACTCTGTTCCTGTTTTGTCAATCGATCAACATCAGTGAATGTCTCCTGGAGAGCGACACTCGTGTAAACAGCACGAGCGAGCAAATCTCACAGCGCAGAATGAAAAGGAGTCTCACTTTTCCTGACCCAGCCACGATCCTGGTACGTAATCGATTAATCGCGTCTCCCCTATTATTGATGTCACTAATTAAGCATTGATTATCTATTTAAAAAGTTACACATGCACAGAATTTTATTTGAAAAAAGTTTGGTAAATTGTATCTTGAAGTAATATTTTAATTACGCTATATTTTATCGCGACATCCACATAGATTAGCGCGTAGTTTTTATTATTCGAATAATTAAAACGGCCGTTCGTTAAGCTTGTCCGTGAAAATGAATATACACAGCCCTTTCGTGCGCGTTCCACCCTTCGTCGTTCATCCAATTTTCAGGACAGCGTGTTTCCACGAAAACACCACAACGGTCTCGCACGTCGGCGATGGTCTCGGCCTTTGAACAAATGGCGCGAAGAAAATCGACCAGCACGAAAAATCGTTATTCGCCACGAGTTTTTTCATTCACGACATGAATAATTATTCGCCTCTCGCGAATGACGTCACCGGAAAATTATTAGATGGCCGTTTTGACAGTCCGGCGCATACAACGTCAACTTTCGTGGTTTTCATTCAATTTCCACGACAGTTGACGAAGGCGAGGGTTGGAGGAGAACTTATAGAAGAGAGATAAACTATACGCATACTTATAAAACGTTTCTATATGAATAGTCTCTCGTGGACTCGTATATGAATTTCGATAAAACCGCGAATTTCCAGAGAAACTCGTACTTTGGCGTCTGGAGAGGACAATTTAACGAGATATTCGTCGGATAGAGATCGGCGAGGAGCGTTTTTACATATCGTGCCTACGAGATTGCTTGAACGAACGAAATCGATACATTCCATGAATCCGTTGACAGATTAAAGCTAGCGCAGAATGGCTTTCATTATTCGTATTTTTTTAGAAACAAATCAATCGGACCGACGACTTAAGTCAGAAAATGGTGTTTGGAGAACACATTTTCAATACGGCAAGCGAGAATGTTTATTCTTATATTTACATTACCATCGTGAACACATGCGCGAGGAATGCTACGTTTGCTCAAGATTAACAAGCTTTCCGTAGCTTTCGAAACACATTTATTCAGCAAATACGTGTAATGAGAGAATACATCTCGTTAGTCGTCCGTAAACAAACTTTTCATTTAGATTTCTGAGGAACAAGAAGATTGCACCGAAAATTATGAGCGTATTAATTTCATGGTTTCCGCGGTAGTTTAAACCTCTGGAGATTTTTCCTTCCATTTTTCACGTTATCTCTAGCGTGAAATCTATAAAAATATTAAAATATTAAAAAATCACATTTATTTTCGATCCTTATAACATTCATAATTGGCAGTTTTTATTCAACATATATTTTTTAATTTAACTTGGAGAATTCTTTTGGACGAGTCTCTGTCGGCTATATTAACTGATAATAGCTCGCATTTCCAATGCAAAGGGATTAGTTGGATTGGCGAGAGATATTCGCGTCGGAATTACGCTCGTACGATACGTTCGCAATCAATTATTCGCGCATAATGTCGGGTGCGGACAGGCGGCATTGTTTACCGGCCGGAGAGGGGTAGAAATACTGCGTGTCGGCCCCCTTTTTTCGTCGGCGTGCATTTTCTCTTCCGGTGAGAGAGCCGAGATACTCGCCGCCCAGATACTCGGCGGCGGAACGCGATTCCATGCGGAAATTTGCGGTTTTATCGGAAATTCATACGAGGGGCGGGGCTCGCATGCGAACCCGACGCGGAAATTGGATGAACTTCGTACGATCGTTCGAGATTCATTGCGAGTCTACCGTACACCAAGCGTTCCCAAATCATTGTATGTGTGTGTCTTTTTAATGACGGATTCGTCAACCAATTTTGGAGTCGAATTTTTTTTGACGAAAATATCGAGGCATTAAGAATCTTTAAGAATGTTTTGTACCTATTTTCAAAATATTGAGAATTTAATGAAAATTGCACAGAATGTCCTTATATAGAATTTAGAATCTTCAGTACAATTTTTAAATCGATTCACTAAAGCGTTCACAAGTTATAAGGATTTTAATTTGCACCGAATTAACATGTGTTCTTATAAACGTATAACCACATCGATTCAAATGACAAAAACACAAATAATAATATTCAGAATTTGTTTAAAATTTGCAAAAGTTTAGATACAGAGAAAATATTTGGTCAAATAATATTATACAAGTACTAACTGGTTAAAAAGATATTAAATATAATTCCATAAAGTTAGCCATGTATCTGTCACAAGATGAATTCTCTGCCAAAAGTTAATCATTTCGATTAACAAAATTCGGAATATTTCAGTAAAAACGCAATAAATATTAAAAAATACTCTGCACTGTAGCTAAGATCAAATTGTAATATTCCACACAATTTCTTACACTCAAAATACACCAAAAGTGGATATTCGTTAATATTGATTTTCAGCTACTTTTTGTTGGGATTGTACATACAAAACATCCTTAAGTTACAAGCGATTAAAGAAAAAAGACTTCTTGCAAAATAAATTTCAAATAAATAGCAAAATTACGCTCTTCAGTTAATTTAAAGCGAAATTTACTTTAATAAAAATTTTATTCAAGATTTATTCTTAATTACAAGGATATATATATGTAGTGTGAAAAATTGGAAAATTACAATAAATGACTTTCTCGATATTTTCACTAGAAATCGACTTTAAATCGATCAAAGAATCTTTAAAATAATATCAGGTAGTTTTCAGATATTTTGCATATAAAGAAATAATATCGTTATATCGCCAGCAAAAATAATGAGATGCGATGATTATGGCATGATTGTTTTTATTACCACTTATTAACTATGCTCTTACAGTTGATCTTTGGCCTGGGCACTCCATTGCAGCTGGATCGCGAAAGCGTAATCGTGGGTGTATTTGCGAAAACAATTTACAATTTGCCGACTAATGCCACGGATTTTACAGAACCAGGAGTGTATTACACAAGAGCTAGTAAAAGCAGATGGAGTTTTTACAAAATGTTTGAAAAGATGATAGCTCTGTACGGTTTTGGTGGCAAAGAATGTTTGCTAAGAGCTATTTGCGAAGTAGCATATGTTCCGTTTGACATTCATCACGGATTACTAGGAGAGTTAGTACAGACTTTTCTTAGGTAGGTAAATAATGTATTATTTTTGAAAAAATTTTTGTATCTATTGCAAGTTTCTTTTTACGAAAATAAATTACAAAAGAAGAAATTAAATTAACATATCAGAATTAAATAATAGAATTTTACAGATATATATATTTTAAAGAACTAATACAAGTGGGTTTTATTTTTTAATTTGTATCAAGCAACTTAAATATTATTTTCATTAATTTTTATTAAGCAACTCAAATTCATTTCGATTCTCAGTTGAAAAACTTATTACAAAATGATTATGTTAATATATATCATACATTTATCTTCCTGAATATTTTACTTATAAAAAAAATATATTTGTTATCGATAATTATTTGAAACAGACATTGTTAGCGAAAGAAATCGATTGATCGCTCTGCATCACACCAGTCACTCGTGCGTGTCAATTACACGCGAATATAATGTTGCAATAGGAGGGGTAACGAGGTATTTAACAAATACCGCAAATACGCAGCCCGGAGGGTTCTCCCGATATAAGCATATATACATTCACGATATTCCCAATAATTCCGATATATTTGTTCTATATCCATATCCATTGATAATTTTTAAATTTTTTTATGATTTTTGCGATTTAACGAGCAAAAACTCCATGTGATTCCAGACCCTCCACTACCCAGGAAGAATACGACGAATACGGGGATCAGGAGTATCGGGCGGCCGAACAGCTGGGCGAGCAGGTGGAAGGTGAAAACTGCCACACCCTTTATCCAGAATGCCACAGAAGTGTACTCGACGTGTTTTCGACATTGATCACATGAAACCGAAATCTCGACGAAAGTGATGAAGGATGCGCCAAGGATGCGTAGAACGTTAGAATTATCGAGACGTTGGATGATATTGAAAGATGCCTCATCAGAGTCCTAAAGTTTTCAAGCAATATGTTGTCGTCGAGACAATTTATAAATATTTTTCTACATTTTTCTTTGAATTTTCAACAGAAATAAAGCATTATCGAGAGACTAAAATATCGCGCAAAAATATAATAAGGGATATAACGTATATAATAAAAGAGATTGTGCAATATTGAGTTTGAACGCCATTGGTTTCATTTAATGTGTGCGATAAACATATGTCGACAGTTTCTATTTACTGAAAGAATGCGTACTATATATACTTGTCAATAATAAATCGAATTTCGACGCTTGTAAACGAGATTCTTACCGAATAATCCATCTCCACTCGATGTTTCGTCGCTTTGAGGATGGGATGAGATCGTGAAAGCGTTCCTACGTTCTTCTACGTTCCCTATTGGCATTCCTCTCTCTTTTCCCGATTCGGAGTTTCATTTTCCTAAAAGTGCGCGCGGAAGAAATACAGAGTTTCGGCGGCTGGAATGCCGGCATGCGATATTAAAGAATCTTTGGCATTCGCGGAGCCGATCTGCTGAAGTTTATCGCGGTTTTTTTCCGCTACTTCCCGCACATTCCCGATTATAATAAGTCGGAAGAAAAACTTGTCCAATGTTTCCGCCTTTACGATGCGCCTACCGCGATTTCCTTATTTATGTACATTTAGAACTATGTGATAAGATTTTTAAGTTCTTTTTCTATGATTCTCCTAGTATCTTTTTCTTTAAGATATCGCAAGAACAAAATCTTGAACAGAAAAATGCAGTTAAGAAGTTATCAATCGAAAATAGCCTGAACATCTTTGGAGAAAGATGTTGAAACTTGTGAAAAGATGTATCAATCTTTGCGTGTGATACATGCAAATCAATTCGGTGGAATGACCTTAATTTAATGTGCGCACGTGTATATTATATTTACACGTAGATGCATACATGTACATTTCTCGTAATGATGTGTATTGCAACCGCATCTATGTGGTCGTATGTGGTTGCTGGTTAATTATTAGATAATAGATACGCGTACTATATAGTTAATTATGAATAGATATTAATTTAGCTGGTAAACTTGACCTTTGTCGGACAAGATAGATATAAAATACAATCTTATCAAAGCGTGTAAAAGACTATTCCTTATATCTGAATAGAAGAAAGATTATAAATTAAGAAACTTAATTTTTCAACATGTAAAAGAATCGATATCGAGAATCGCAGATAAGCATTTTGAATAAACTTGCAAACGTAATATAAATATGTCAAATCTGATATATAATTCATGCAGTTTTTCATATCTTAGATGTAAAAGCTATTCTGTAAATGTATTTTAACTGTGTTTGAGATTTTTATGTCATTTGCATTCATGGCTGGAAAGAAATGAAATCTCTTGTTTTTCACAAAGAAGATTCGCAAAAAGAAACGCTTGCTTTCTTCCCATTATTATCGAGAGCGTCTTTAATCACGGCAAAGTTGCACTTTGTGCGAGCGATTTCTTACATTACAAGGAGATTTTGTTACCGCGATAAATCCGAAACTTTTCTTCCTCGCGTTAATATTCCCGAATATTGCAATCAATGTACGGTCCTGAATTCGCGCGGCGCACTGGAAAGGCGCTTTAGCGCGTTACATCGCGAAACGATTTCCCCCCCGTAACCTTTTTTTATTATGTCGCACCCCGTACACGCTTGCTTGCAATACGCTCGTGAAAATCTCATCTTCTTGGAGCGTCGCGTAAACACGCGGTGTAACGCGTCGTTCCGCGTGGAAACGCTAAACGGGCGTATTTCTCTGGGGTACACAGGTCGTGAATTTGTTTCGCGATTCACAATAGCTGCCTCCCTTCTTCCGTGTCGGCTACGTTGCTCCAAGATATTCTCGAGTTTGCGCGATGTCCGCAGCCGGGAAAGCTAAATTTAATGGGAAAAGTTTGCTTTCCCGGAGACGGAATTTTCGACTTCTCTATTCGTCTGGTAATCGATTCGTATTTTTATTATTGTGGAATTATTCATCGTCAATTAATTATAATTATGCACAAATGTATTTGCTATAATTGATCGTTCACTATTAATTATAATGTGATCGATAATAAATACGACGGATTATAATTTTATCATTTCTTTCTAGAAGAAGGTCCCTTTCTGGAAAGAGAGAAGGGTTTGCTTGTTTTTTATTTTCTATTGACATAAAAATGACAGTACAAATTTATCTCTCAAATTGTCGATATTATCGGATATAACTTTTCCTCGTTTCGAATTTTCGACGCTTCTACGAGATATTTTCGTGTTTCTCATTCGACTGGATACACTTGTCTCCGAGGTCGGTCGTAGTGAATAGAAACGATTTATTGCCGCGCGACATCCGCTCTCTGACGCCAATACTTCCCCTTTCCCTCTAATCCCTCAAGAGGAAGTAATACCTGACATTGGGTGGAGATTGCAAGTTTGCTTGTCGGCAAAAAAATTTGCATGGATATGATGGCATCATTTCGATTCGATCAACTGACAGCTGGAAATATTCGTTGCTGTGATATGTACAGACGCGTGAATCTGTCGTCACTTGTAATATATTTTTTTTAAAACTAAGAATATTAATGCAATTAAGATATATTAAAAAATAAATTACAGCAACAGGAACGATGTTTGTTTTATGTCTGTTTAGAAATATTTTATCTTGATAAACAATTTGTCGATTCTTCAATAAATCGTGTAAAAATAATGATTCTAGATTAATTGAATAATATTTTAATACAAATTAAAATAGATATTTTAATCTTCATTTCACATAAATATATAATATAAAAATAAGAGTAGAGAGAAAAAAAAAGATTATATGAAACTTATATGCTTAAAAATAAATTTGCTTGATATTTATAATAGTAATATGATAATTCTCTTTTGATATGAAGGTAGATTTCACTATTTCTAAAAAAAAACCCGAATATTTTGGAAATTATATTTTTTGAGAATATAAGGCTTAAAATAAGGTAAATATATATATTTTTCACATAATAAAATGCAATTTTCCTGCATACACAAAAATTATCATGCAATTGTCTCTTGAAAACTTTTGATATTTTCTATTGTATTTTTTCAACATGATGAACGCTATATAAGTTAGTCAATGTTTTTAAGATATTTCAAAGATATTTCACAATACTATTAAATATCATAAAATTGTTAAAATTTTGTATATATATATATATATATATATATATATATATATATATATACGTCATAAATATCTCTAAAAATTCTACCTTATATATTTTTCCATTAGTAGAAATTTTGCTTCGATATTTGTTCAATTTTACTTTAATAAAGCGAACTGTATCACTTAGTCCATATTGTTGCTTCATCTCTTTCGCGTTTCGGATTTAATATAGCACAAATATCACATTGGACCATCCGTATAAATTAATCGTCGCGCATTCAATTCTGTCTCGTTTGATTCTCCAAGTATCCTCCTTTCACCACCACATGTCAAAATTTTTTGTCTCAATTCGATGGAAATCTATTGAGAGAGCAAAATTTAACATAAAGCTTCGAGTTTTTTGGCTATTGTCCGAATCATTCGAGGGCAATATTTTGAATCAATTTATAAAAAAATGCGAAATAAAAAGGACAAGTACGTATCTCGTTTGCATCAGTTATGAAAACTATGGTCCCTTCCCACGATCCACTTTCACAGGACAAGTTGTCAATCTTGTCGCAACCAAAATTGTATTTTCAATGACCGGGAGCCATAGGGAGAATTAAATGGCGCCGTTGCACCAATGATTGTTGACAGTGAACGTCGACGAGGATATTTGTTTACCGGGGAGAGAAACGGCGTGTTGTCTTATTTGCCGGGCTGCTGCGTGAAATGTCGGGGAGCGAAACGTCATCCACTTAAAACTACATCGCATCAAGCTTTGAAGATTCTACTTGAAAGCTGTTGACGCTATTGTGCAATCTCTGACCATTTTTGTCAGCGATGGATTTCATATTTAAAAAAAAAAGAGTTTGAAAGCGCACAATCATATATATTACTCGATTAATATAGAATCGATTTTCTGAGCGAAAGTTTTTTGGATCACAATAATATTCATGTCAAGAGAGTTATGTAAGAATGATTGAATAATTTATTTTGTT